AAACAAGAAAATGCGATATTGCGAGAGTCATATCATTAGGTTTCATCTCGTCTATGGACTATTGACGTCTAAACGCTGATCAATTGACCTCAATAAAAATCAACGCCAAGGCTTTTGTTGTGAATTTTATTGTTTACGAAATACAAAACTTTGGTCAGTTGAAATGAAACGAAGATAGATTGATACTACTTCACTGTTGGTGATACACCAGATCTGAAGCTGATTAGAGTTGTCTATGGCATGATCTGATTGTGTCTGATTTCTTTATTATGTGTGCCTTAAATACCATGGGATTCGTATCTGCTATACGAACATTTATATTGTGTAGAAATATGATATTGTATGTGTTGACATACAATGACCCGGAACTGAACTCCAATCCAAAGTCATGAACTTGAATACCAGGCGGTCATAAACTATCGGGAAGCTACGTTAGATTTTAAGTTCCAGTGTTTCCAGTTTTAAGACGACAAATGCTACCAACACCGTGTTATCGATAGTACTAATAACAATATGGGATAGACATATCCATATGAATAAAAAAACTAAAAACCACTAACAAAGAAAAAAAAAAATAGGTATAATAGTAACAAATTGTTTCGCTACAGATAACCTGAGTAAGTTTTGCAATCGAATATTTCAACCATAGCTGCTTTTCCGTCAATTATTCGTTTTGTTTGTCTATCGCTTGCCACATTGACTGGAAAATTGTTTAAAATTAACTTTAAAAGTTGGGTAAAATATCTTTTATTTATTTAATTTGTAACTTAATCGTGTATTGAGTTAATCGGGATATCCGTGTTATTTCTTTTAAATTTAACATTGATCGAGCGGATCTAATTAATCTTGAAAATTAATTTATTACTTTTTACTTACGTTCTCAAACAACAACCCGAGCTTCTTAATTGAGTGGCTCGAGTGCCGTTTTCTGGTGTCGTCATACCGGAGGTCGGTTTCTGGTTGGCTCGATACATACCTACTTTACTTATGCCATGATGCCTGAGTTCTCAAGTAACCATATATGCTATCATCATCATCATCATCACCCTAATCAGACAACAATCGCGTGCCGCAGCGCATATCCACTACGCCACTGTATCAATAAAATAAACTATGCTTCGTCTAAGTTCGAATACGTACCGTTTGAAATTTGAGCTCACAGGTACTTTTTTTAATTAATTATGCTATTATTAACCCTTGGATACAATAAATATCAAATGAAGACAAATGTTGATTGTACACCTTTCAATCCTTAAAAAAATCATCACACTACGGTTACTTTTCGGATATTCACAAACACCTACCCCTATATTCGTTCTCTGAGAGCGGATAAGAGTTAAAACTTGTCCAACAGGTGGTTGGCCATAATTACATGCACTATGTTGCAAACATGTCATATAGAACAACCTTGTTGCTAATGAATTAAGGTCTATTATGCAATGATTCGAGTTAATTTATCGATTATTATGTATTAAAAATAATACATGTTATATTATGTCATATTGTATTAATGAATAAAGTAACACGAAATCTCGGTTAGTGACAGATATATCAAGATTTTGAATTACTCATGTTAGTTAGTATTTTAACAGGTTTTTTTTAATAACAATTTCACTATTACGTATTATCAGATATTGTATTATAAACCTTTTCGATTATATATTTGTCTAGATATAGTGTCATAGCGCCTTTACTCTTCTTCTTCTTAATTTGAATGATCTATACTCCAAAAAATGTATGGTGTAAGCGTCACCCCGGCAGTTCAAAACGCTCGGTCAGTGTCAAAACTGTCACTGTGAGAAAAACATCTATTTTGTCGCATTAGAAAATTAAGGTACGCGCGTTCAAAGTGTGCAGGAGTTACAAACAAATAAATCAATCAAAAATATAACGTACCACAGGTAGGTAAACTTCAAATAGCCATTTAAATGAATACAAATAATAAGTTATAATGTTCCCTAATAACAACGCTCACGCACATTGATACTCACCTTTACGCACGCGAAATTTTCAAACCTAGCCTGTTTTTTTTGACAATTGTAGCGCAACATTCTTCTCTCGACAAGTATATGATAAAAAATAAACGCAGGCTTTCAATGGATTATACTATAAGTGGGATGCATATATCCTATAGGGATCATCGAGGGCTATGCGCGGATCCAGCCCAGGACCTCATCCCGCGTCGTTCATTCCTCATTTCGGGCTCCTTTGGGTTAGAGATGAGAATCGGGAACATTATCCAGACAGGACGCAGAAGCGCAATTGGAGAGTTCCATCTAGGCCAGGGGTCGGCAACCTACAGCTCGCGGGACGCACGCGGCGCTTTACACGTAAAATTACAAATATCGATATGAAGTTGAGTACCCAAATTGTGTGGTTAAAATATGATTAAGATATCGTTAGAATGACTGAGAAAATGAAATCTCAAATATATATATATTGAAACATAATTTCTCAGAGGCTCTTAAAAATTGTTGATTTTTGTATATTGTAGCTTTTGGTTTTTTCATCTCATAAGGTTGTCTGAATCTCTGAAGTCGGTCTAGATTAGGGCTACTAGATCGTATTCAGTTATTTCAATAATGCCAAACAAAGAAAAAAGAAAAATAACCCAGTACAGAATATCAGAGACGAAAAAGCGAGCTACGTTATTTGTGTATTTTCGTAAACAATCAACCATCCAAATAATACATTATCTATTCTGTTTGTGTGCTAAAATAAGTTACAAGTCTCTTTTTAGGATTCCGTACCCAAAGGTTAAAAAACGCGACCCTATTACATAACTTAAACTTCGCTGTCCGTCCGTCACCGGGCTGTAGTACCTATCTAATGAATCGTTATATGTTTTTGTTAAATGTCAGGCACTCGTATATATAGCATTTTCGTGATTTGAGTATTAAATTAGAACTTGAAGCGTGAAGCTGAAAGGGGAAAGAGATGACACGCAATGACACTGATAAGAGCGTTTGCGTATTGTGCGTCATAAAGCGGGAAAAATATGTTTGCATAATAGACGGAGAGCTCGTGACAAAAATGTGCCAGAGTTTTCCTAAGCTTGACTTTTTGGATGTTGTAGTATAAATCGTTCGTTACCTAGTGCGGAGGATTACTCGAAAACCATTTCGATTGTGGTGCAACGCTCGATTTGTAAAATTACGCAAATATTTATCAATTTTCACTTGAAAGCAAATACCATTGTAATAACGGGAATTTTTGAGGTAACTTAGTAGTAATTTTTTTATCGTGTTGTAGGCATGACGTCACGTATTAGTGCAGTATCAAAGTTATTTTTTATTTTTTCGCAATATCGATATTCTAACACGACGACTTCTTATGAATCAATGCGAAAACATTGACTCCATAAGCCTTTTTTGAGGAACTTGAGGAAAGTTTCTTTAATATGTATATATACCTTAGCCTAATATCTAGGTAGTGTTTAGTATTATGTAAATTTAAATATCGCTAAGATGTTGTATCCTATGGCTAGAGAGTTAGCCGGCCGCACGATGTGCCCCCAAAATTATTGTCATAGTACTTATTGCATAAAACTTGCTGGAAAATGTAGAAATATACCGACACTTTCCACTATTCGGAGTAGGTCATTGGAACGTGTGTACATTATTCTTTAACTCCTTAAAATGTAAATTGTGATTTCATTTGTACCTGAATCGGTCCTACGCTGCCGGAATCCAGCGGCTTCCCGCAACCTTTATAAGATCGTCGGTCCACCTGGTGGGAGGCCTACCCACTGAGCGTCGTCCATTCGGGAACTTTTCCGCCCCAACGTTCATCAGTTCTTCTCACTATGTGTCTCGCCCACTGTCACTTCAGCGGAATAATTCTTTAATCTCCTCATTTCGAATTCGATAACGTGGGGAAATACCAAACGTTGCTCTCTTCATTGCCCTTTGGGAGACCTTTAACCTTACGAGATGGGAGAGAAGTTAATGTAACTGTAGAAAAGTCTCTTGCATTTTTTCTCATCTAATATTATTTTAAAAAATGCATCCTTTTTTATTCATAGTTCTATAGAAAAGAACACACCTTTAATTTGGTATTACTTAAAAAAAGAAAAGTCATCTATTTTAGCGGTGCCTTATTTTAGATTCTGCCTATGCAGCACACTTTACTTTCTATTTTCATATTGTCTAGTTATTTTTGGCGGGTCATTAGCTATGACACAGTCAAAAATTAATCAGTATCATCATAAACCTTATTAGATATACTGTGCCCGTAAAATCGTTTTGTTGGAAATGCCGTCGAAAAAATATTCCATTAAAATGATGGCATTTATACATTTGACATGTAACATTGTAATCATCGACAGTCAGTAACAAAACAGCTTTCATTTCTTAAACATTTAATTCATGTTCTTAGTATATATTATTTATTTTATTAACATTTCATTGCACATCACGGTAAATTTTACAAACAACCAAATAATATGATATTCATTGTACAGCAAGAACACAAATATTATTAATATTTAAATGTTACTTTTATGTTTGAGTCAATTATACTATAATCATTTGTAGTTCGCAGCATTTTACCTACTATAGTAAACATTTTCAGTTAAGCATCTAACCACATGAAAGGTTCCTTCGCTTCGCTTAGGCTATATACATTTTTAATTGAGATGTGAAAATAAGGAACTGTGTCTGGTCAAATAACCTCTTTAGCAATAACTGTTATACAGAATAAACAGTTAATTAAATTTATAGTTTTTGAAAAGACATTACGTTCTGTTTGTTTCTTTTACTATGACTCATAGGAAAGTAAAACTGAGTATGCGTACGTCACGTCATGACGATTGTACATGTGTTGGAGTACTGACTAACATTTTAACATAACTGTATTTTTTTAAATTCATTTCTATAACTTTTACCCGTGAGACTATTTCTACAATTACCTTAATGAAGTTCGTAAATGTGTTTTCATCGTCTCATAAAGCGCATATTTTAATATAATATTGAATTTGTTATTTTTATCTGTTACAGGAGAAGATATATGATATACCATGTGACGTGTCCCGGGCAGAGACACCTGATTTTACGACCTCCAGCCCCAAAACAGACTTCCAGAAGTTACGAGATAACTTTGAAAACGGCTTTCGCGATGGTAGCAAACGTAACTCGGTCGATACCGAAAATATTACCAGAAACAGTGCCGAAATTAAACGAAATAAATATGCCGATATCGGCGACAGGAAATTCGGTACAGAAATAACAGGAAACAGGAAATCTCTTATAGAAAATGTCGATAATAGAAGAAGTTGCGACAAACCGCCGTTGACCCCAAAACCAAACATTTACTTGAAGAAGGTGTCAAAGTCTACGGAGAATTTAGCCGATGACTTCAAGTCTGCAGCGGCCGAGAAAAGATTCGGTACCGACACCAAAAGATACCGGAAAGACAAATCTGATGTCAGTTTTAATTCTATCATTCCTAAGAAGACGTGTACGCAATTGGATAAGGATAGAGAAAATGTAAGTTTCTTTTTTATTTTATATCTGAGGGCCATAGAACTATAGTTTGTTTCATGAAAAGTTTTTACAGAAACAAAAATATAGTTTTTATTATAAAATAATAATGAGAGCTTTCTCTAGCGCAGTGTTTTCTTGTGGTCCACGTGAGAGGTTGGGGCCACTACTTTAGGGTACTTACTTTCAAAATTATGCTACTTACTTTCAAAATAGATTCTAATGTCTCATAGTCCAGTCATTCAACGGATTCAACTCCGTTTTCGGTAAAACTGGATCGAAAATGTTTAAATTTGGATAGTAGTTCTAAAATGGTACGAATAACAAACCTAACTTAGTGCCGAAGTGCGGTTTTACTTTGGGGATGAATATCACACTATCTCGGAGGTGAAAATTAAAAATAATAAAACGAAAGATAAGCGTATTTTAAGCATAAAATAAATTATTAAGTTTTTCCGATAACCTAATAGTTTTCAAGTTATTCGCGATTGAAAATGTCATAAAAAATAACTTTTTAAACTAATTTCCATGAATAGCTCAAAAAAATTACGTTATAATCAACATCAAATAGCGTAAAAACTGAAGATTTTTCCGAAAATCATGTTTATTTAAAATACTTAATTGACCTTTGAAATCATTAATATTTCAGCTAAACGCACCAGAAGATTTAATGGTTTAAAAAATAATTCAAAATATAGTTTCAAAGGAAAAAAAAAGTTTTTATAAAAGTATATTTCTTTCAAATAACAAGAATAGACACATTTACGAAAAAACTTTTCGTAACACGAATGGGCTTTTTTCCTAAACCTAACCTTCAACCCTTAAACTCTGTAAATGTGAGGTCATAAAAAATTTATGATTCACATGACATTACAGCTTATTAAAGTCCCTACAAAACTATATTTTTACCTTCAGTTTACGTAGTGTTGTGTATGTTTTCCTCGCGTTCAGTGTGCATTTATGGAAGCGAAAGGAAAAATTCATCAGCTGTTTATCATTAAACACAAATTGTAAAAGTTGACGGGCATGGTCTACACTAAAACTTCTCAAGGCGTTAAATGAAATGAAACGAACCTTTATCGATTTATAAAATTCGTAACAAAGAGCTTTTACATGCTTAATACTACATTATTCTAATAAGGAGTGATCGATACAAATCGTATATAGATATTGAAACGTATATTGTATCGATATATCGATATCGATGCGCACGGTAACTATATATTTTTTGAAGCACTATATTGCAGCATCGACGACATATATCGGCTTCGGTATCTCGCTCGATATCAAACCGTTTCTCGTCGTAATAGAATTGAACCGATGCAGGCGTTTGGATTTGTGAGTGAGAGAAATGGTAATATTCTAAGGTTTCAAAACCTTAGCGTATTAGAGTTAAGGTTGTTTCCATACTTTTGAATACCTACTTGTTAATCGCTCGCCGGTTTATTTTAAATGCTAAATTAACAAGTGTGAACGTGAGATCCTGCTTTATTTATTTTGCTACTTTTTTGCGATTGTTTTCACGATGGCTTGAGGTTACCGAATACACACATAAGTACATATATAGTTTCAGAATCCGATATTGAATATCAATTTATAGATCCGAATCGATATTATGAAAATCTGATATAACCCACCGCTAATTTAAAAAATCAATAGTCCAGAGCCAGGAAATTGCCTTTACTTCCCAGACTATGAACGAAATTTTTGTAGTCACTACTGCAAGCATTGCTTACAATAGTTGACGACCAAAAGTACAGATGGCGCTGTTTCAATTTTACTCGTTGGGTTTGCCCTATGTTCTGTTATCAATGATTGATGATTCACGGTGATGACGGTGACCGATATAATAGCGTGACCATAAATGTGGATTTTCATTGATCGTGACTCATGAACATGCCCACCTTTCGTGTTATAATTTAGCGTGGCCAGCGACATCTAGTTCGTGCACAGATCAAATATTACGAGATCATTTTTTTATTTTATGCATACCTTTATAGCAATAATATAAGTTCAGTCTCATTAAAATATACAGAATACCAAGCTATCTTTTTTTAGTTTCATTTGATATTTTTAGATGACTTTATTATCTGCCTACTAACTAAAACTTTCTGCCGTCAGATTGCAGCACTGGCACACGTAATAAACAAATTTTAATTAAAATTCTGCTGGCGTCACGTTTCCCCTTCGTCTTGTCTCCCGGCCGCGCTACATTGCGCTAAGGCTGATCTAAAAGTCGGCATCCTCTTGCGTGTCGAGGGAGAGAGACCATTCTCTGTATTTCACTGTATCTTCTGTCAGGTAGAGGCTTAGATACCTCTCTATGTCCGCGAGGAGTGAGAGCCCAATAGAAATGGTAGATGAGCGAAATGTCAACTCAGCCTCGGCTTCTCGGGTCTTACTGTCAAGGATGTCTAGTAGAGAAAAAAAAACAGTCGCGGTATCTGGATTGTCTACCATTATAGAGTTTCCGTGTCTACCATTTGCATTCGCGAGACGACATAACTAGCTAATAAAGCGAATGCCTCCTGAGACCACTATGATTGGAATGTCAGTCGGCAACTGAATAAGTAGCCGTGATACACCTCGGATGCGTCGCCAGTATTCTACGAGTATCTGGCGTAGGCAGAGATGATGCCACCACAGACAATATAATATTATGCTAGGTTAATATATTATAAATTAGTTGACAAGCCCGGATCTAGGGGGTGGCAAATGGGGGCACTTGCCCCGGTGCATTATTAGGCGTCAAAATCATTATACCTATTTATAGTTATAAAAAGAATGCGTTTTACAAATCTCTTCATACACATCATAGGCTACGATAATATTGGACATGCTTCGACATCCTTAAAAATATCATACACTGTAAAAATATGGAGGGGGGATGTGTAGAGAAAGGGCGCCGCCATAGGAAGTTCCTGCCTCGGTAAAAAATTTATATAGCGACCTCCGTAGCCGAGTGGGTCGCACGCCGGTTTCAAGGTGTCGCCATCTCTGAGGTCCCGGGTTCGATTCCTGGTCGGGTCAATGTAGAAAATGAACTTTTCTATATTGACTTGGGTCTGGGTGTTGTGGTACCTTCGTTGTCTCAGATACTCCATAATACGGGGGCTTTAGCTACTCATCTTGGAATCTGAGCAATGTATGTGATGTTGTTAAATATTTATTTATTTATTTATAGCAGTGTCCATCACGCTTATAATGAGATATAGCAATGTCCATCGTCTGAAGTGTTTTAAATATACACTTTTTATAATGAACTACTTACGGAGACAGTCACAATGGTGGCTTAATTAGTTATTAAAGTGATCTGCCGCAGCGTCAGCCGGTGCACAGCTGTGTTCTGTCGGTGGCATCAATTTGTCTGCGATTGATTTGGCACAAGGTTCATTGAAAGTAGGATATCAACAATAGCGCACCCAGCTGAATCATAATTAGATATTCGTCTAGTTCTCTGTTTCGCTATTCAGTAATAAAATTCGTTTGAAAAAGCAAGACGTGCATTGGTTGATAGTGTTCTTTTTTAATTATAGATTACAGTCTTAGGAGTTAAGCCTTGCGTTGCAATGTTATACCTAAGTATCAAGTGATCCCGTGATTGTTTAAGTCAACTTTATTATTAATTTAAATTTTATGTCTGTATCATTTATAAGTTGTTTTTTGTTTATGCGAGGCTTCTAATTCGCTATTAATTAGTATTAGCAGTTGGTTGTCTTAATATAAATGAAATAAATAGATACATAAAAATACAGTTTGAAATATAATAATTCATGTTTTATTCCACTGCATAATCCACCAATTGAATAGTTCACTGATATTCTTCTCATTTCTTCCAAATAATAATAGTTAGTTCAGTCGCCTAATATAATAACAAGCAAGGAATTACCTTACTGCTTGTCATTCCGAATACATTCTGGCATTCAAGAATTCAAATAATTCACTATAAATGCTCTCAATAATACAATTATATTTTTAGCTTTTAGCATACAGCACATACAGCTTCTAATCAAGGCATGACTCACATTGAACGGAAAGAAGCGACTGATCTATCTTATCGTGGTCGGTTGCAATAACAGTAATATTCCTAAAGGGAATATTTTCATTAGGAAGCATTCGTTTTCATGATGTTTTCGAGGCAGGTTATCCTGTTAGTTACTTTCTTTTAATCTCAAAACTAGCTTTCCGCCAGTGGCTTAATCCGCGTGGTCCCTTAGACTGTTTATTTTTCGATTCGTATTATGAGACGGATATAATTGCAATGAAGAATTGAATAGTAAACAATAGTCGCAACGTTTTAATTCCATATATAAAGTTTCAATTCCATCATCATCATCATCATCATCACCAGCCCTTCTTTGACTTCTTTACGTCCCCACTGCAGGGGCTCAGGCCTTCCTTATGGATGGTTAAGGAGGATGGGCCACGAGCCTCCACGCTGGCCCAATGCGGATTGGAGGGTATTAACGACTGCAAATGCAGCCGGGACCAATGGCTTAACGTGCCTTCCGAAGCACGGAGTAGCTCGAGATAATTTTTTTTTGGTCACCCATCCCGTGACCGACCCTTGCGAAAGTTGCTTAACGACTACGATCGCAGGCCGCGGCGCTTATCCAACACGCCACCGAGCTACTCAATTCCATTTACATTCCTTTATTTGCTGTTTCTCGGGATAAAATATCCATAGGTGAAAGAATTTTTAAAATCGATCCAGTAGTTTTGAAGTCGATTCCATGCAAACAAACAATAAATCAAATCTTTTCCCTTTATAATATTAATATAGATAACCACTCGTCAATCTGTGTTGTGTATGAGTAAGTTATGTTATAAGTTTTGTCTAATATCTAATGTAATAATATTGACTTCTTTTGCCTTCTTGATTGAGATAGCAATATTTAAAAAATGTTCTAACCACTGAAGAGCTTGCCTGCATGATATTGAAAGGGCCCAGTACATATTGGTGGGTATCAGCGACTGTAGGACTGTATTCACTTCAAAAAAGGACA